AGGTGACAGGGCTGGGGGACTGGGCCAGGAGGGTGGGAGACAGGAATTGGGGAAGGGCAACCCACAGCATGCAAGAGATGGCCCGACCACGCAGGCCAGCGCCGCCGAGCCGCACACTCAGTTCAGAACTTGGCCGGGCACACTCAGGCCCCTCGCTCTTCAACCCGCGCACGCTCGGAGGACCCGCCTGGAGATTGGCCTGCAGTCTCTCCCGGTTCTGGGGACCTGGCGCTCCCGAGACCTCAACAGGCCAGCCTGGCCGTCTCAGGAGCCCGCCTCAGCTTGGGGTGGGGAGGAGCGGGGGGTGCTGAGTGGGTCCCCGTGCTCGCCCGGTGTGACCAGGAGTCCAGGTGAGGGCTGGGAAGGGGCGTGGGGGCTCGTTTGCGTGTCTGGGACGGGAAGGATATGACAGGGTCCTAGAGGCTGCCCACTCCTCGGAGGTCCGCCGCTCGCCGCCGAGGGGACCCCTTCCAGGGGCTGGGGTCAGGAAGGGGGCCTGAGCAGGTTGGAAACTCGGGCGTACAAAAGGGCGCCGATCACTCGGCCGTGGGTCCCGCCCGCGAGCAGCACCGCGGCCGGCGCACGCTCTGCAGCAGCGCACGGAACAGGCCGGGCGGCCGCTTGGCGGCGCCATCCTGGGGCGCGGCGCGCACCGAGCCCGCTCGGCCGGGGCCCGCGCGAGCGGCGGGCGGCGGCGCGGGCGCCCCTTGGCGGCCGTGCTCCTCGATCTGCCGTTCCAAATGCTTCTGGATGGCCATGCCCAGCACCTCCACCTCCATGGCGGCCCCGTACACCTCCCACGTCATGCCCTTCTCATCCCAGCTCACGTCGCGCACGGGCTCCGACGCCTCCTGGGGCGCCACGGCGGCCGCCAGCACGGATCCCGGCCGCACCCGCACTTCGGGGAAGGCGGGCGGTACGGCGGGCGGCGCGGCGGCCTGCGGCGTCATGGGCCCGGTGGCCACAGAGCGCGTCTCGGCGGCGCCCAGCGACACCTGCAGGCCCGCGTCGCGGCGCGCGGG